AACGAGGTCAACCAGATAAAGACGTATTGTATTAAATACAGATTTAACTTTTGTTTTATCTAACGTGTATAATGGAGTCGTGTTTACAAATAAATACGTTTCAAAGATAGCGTTGCCATGGATATGACATACAAGAGCTATGCATACGTCGGTTTAATTATATATATATATCTATCTATATATATATATATATATATATATATATATGTATATATATATATATCTATATATATATATATATATATATATATATATGTATGTATGTATGTATGTATGTATGTATGTATGTATGTATGTATGTATGTATGTATGTATGTATGTATGTATGTATGTATGTATGTGTGTGTGTGAGAGAGAGAATGTATGTATGTATGTACGTATGTATGTATGTATGTATGTATGTATGTATGTATGTATGTATGTATGTATGTATGTATGTATGTATGTATGTATGTATGTATGTATGTATGTATGTATGTATGTATGTATGTATGTATGTATGTGTGTGTGTGTGAGAGAGAATGTATGTATGTATGTATGTATGTATGTATGTATGTATGTATGTATGTATGTATGTATGTATGTATGTATGTATGTATGTATGTATGTATGTATGTATGTATGTATGTATGTATGTATGTATGTATGTATGTATGTATGTATGTGTGTGTGTGTGTGTGTGTGTGAGAGAGAGAGAGAGAGAATGACCTCTATGATGTGTGGGGAACTTATATTATAGACATATTATCCCACTCTCCAAAAGTCTTTGAAACCCCTAAAATTTAATTTATTTACTAAATTGTGATATGTCAATCTTTCCGGTAAACAAAAATCGATAGGTTCTCAGTCTTAATCTTTTGCGATAAGGAAATAGTTGTAGTTATTGTTTTTTCTTTATAGTGTCCTGTCAAATCTAACCGTACGAAGTAACTTTTTCAATGCAGTGTTTTCCTTTAGTCGTGTTGTGATTCACTGCACCAATTGACTGACTACAAAGAAGTTATATTTGAGTTCATGTATTGAAAATTTACCTTCTGACTCTATTATAATTGTTATTTGTACTAATTTTGCGATGGTCTTTGCATTCATTTTTTAAAAATCATCCACGATTTTAAAAGTAAAATTAAATTGATATAATAGATAAAATTATTTGTGATGCCGTTTAAACAACAGTTCAAATTAGTTATTTGTGACAGAGCGAAGTAAATAAGAAATCAGAACTTGAATAGTTCTGTCCATAATATATAAAAAGAAAAACTGTCTTATGACTTTATCAAGTTCTTAATGAGGTTTATATTTCTTTTAATCTGACGATGTACACTATGAGCTTTGTGTTAGTTGCATTAATATCGACTCTAAACATGACCTTGTTTTATGTTAGATATATGTGTAGATACATTAGGTGTGAAAAACGATAATATCTCCGATATTCATTGTGTATCAGAATGTTTTAAATTATATCGGCTTCTTCTGCTCATCTTCATTAATCTTGTTTACAAATAATGTTATATCACTAGATACATGTGGCTAAATAACCGGTTTACCTTTGGGTCCCCTCTAACCTTACCGCAGATCTCTGTTTAGAAGAGAAGACAAATAAACCATAGCCATGTTTTGTTTTTAATTTTTGTTTGTTCTGTTGTTTGTTTTTGTTTGCTTGTTTGTTTGGGATGTTGTGGTGTTGTATATTTGTTGGGGTTTTTTTTTTTGAGAATGTAGCAACCAATTCAATTCCAAAAATTGACAAAAAATTGATCTGCTTATCAATTTGGATAAAAGTATTTTGTACTGTTTGGCTGCCCTATAGCATCGGTATTAAGGGTAATGAATTGACAGATAAAACAATCAAAAGTGTCTGCAGTCACTCTCTCCTGAATGGAAAATTCATCATATTTGCTTTAAATATTATTTAACTCAGTATGTTTTATATAAATAGGAAAGTATGCCGAATGAAAACTCCCAAATATGAGAGATATATAAGCACATATGGAGGTGACATTAATGTATCGCCATATGCCACTCTGCCCATACGGATGGACCACCACCCAAAACTATCGCTGGTACACCGTGGGAACATCATTTAGTTTACTTGCGTAACTGCAGCTTGTGGGACCTTCAGACCAGATTATCAGTCACCTATCCATCAATCACAATATAGCATCTACAAATTTAGATCGGCCTAACTAGGACATTTTTCAACCAATGTTCGAGATATTTTCAGTATTCCAAAAAGATTACACTAATTCACATTGGGTGATTGTCAACATAAACTCCGATTATATACGATGTGTGGTGCTAGTAAGATCAAGGCAATCTGCATTCTGATTGACAGTCATTCGTGTATATACCCTGACGCATGACTGACAAGAATGCCAGGCCATACCTCGCCAATGTTACAGAGAGCTAAATACATTATTTCGAACGTATCGACTTCTACCATGAGAGGAATAAGCAGCGATCAATATGGTACAGAGAAACAAAGAAATAAAGGAGAAGAGAGGTTGATAGGATTTTAAACGAAAAATTAGACAGGTTTTCATCATTTATTTGAGAAAAAGAGAAAAAAAATGTATAATAAAACAAGTTCCGCTTGGGCTATCAGTAGAGGAATTAGAGACAGTTTTTGCCATTAATTAATGTCGAATATCTAGACGCAAGCATGAAGATCGAATTCACATGCCTGCGTAACCAAAATCAAAACCAGAAGCTTTTAACCTTTTTCTATAAAATAAAAAAACAATTTATGTTGGTCATTCCAGAGCCGTATCAATAAATTATTTAGTGCGTGAGCTAGCTGTGAAAAGTGGTTTTCGCTAAGACATGTAGCTCTATGTTGATTTATTACCTGCAACTCTTGCGATGAAATTTTTATTTCCAATGTTTAAACGGACGCGCGTGCGTGTGTGTGTGTACTGGTGTTTTGCTGGTGATCTCACGCACCTTAAAAGTAATTTACATGCACAGTAATTTTGCCAATATAATTTGCTCAGCGACGAAAAAGATTAACCTGGAACTTGACCAAAGCAGTTCTACATGTCAAACGTTTTTAGCTAATTGTCATCTCTCCATTAAGTAGAAGCTCAACATTAAGCACTCTTTAACACTTACTGTGTTAACGTAGCTAAAAATAAATTATCGATGAATGTTAGACAAAATATCAATTGCTTGTGTGAATTAATCAGTTTTGAGAAAGACGTAAATGCAACAGCTTTACACTCACCATTTATGTTTTCTTATAAATATATATCTCTCTCTACATACCTACCTTCCTACGTACCTACGTATGTACCTACCTACCTACCTACCTACCTACCTACCTACCTACCTACCTACCTACCTACCTATATGTGTTTGTCTCGATTGGTCCGGGTCCATTTGACCATGTCCTTGTCTGTTAATTTATATAAATATCCATGGAAAGACGGTCCTAATTGTAATAACCTAATCTTATTTTGCGTTTCTGATCAGGTTTTTGTAATGGTCCAGAAAACGGGGCAACAAATGTATGAAAGGAGGTCATAGAGTGCAAGTTTGTAGCCCAATAATTTGTTTCCCATAAGTGTGTGTGTGTTTATATATATATATATATATATATATATATATATATATATATATATATATATATATATATATATATATATATATATATATATATATATATATATATATATATATATTCCATTATACAGATGTATTGAAAACCGATAGGAACTCATTTTCAATGCAGGAAAAGCTGTTAAAATTGAGTGATGTTAAGCATGTAGGTGACGACAAATGTCGGGTTTTGAAAAGAAGAAAAAAAAGGCTTGGATAACAATGCCAGGTGCTTTTTGTCAATGGTCAGGATATGCATGGTAATCCAAGGAGAACATCCGGACACTACAAACAAATATATAACTAGGCTGTACGGGGATTGATTGACGTTCATACTAGATATTACAGAAGGTGAAGAATTAGTTCAAAAGAGAAAGTGACCATCCAGCTGAAACGACGTAGAGCATGCACGCGTTTTAAAAATCTCACCTAACTACGGTATATCAAATCACGTTTCCTTATGGGTTTTCGCAAATACCTCAAAATCACGATCAATACAGAATTAATTAGTCTTACTGATAAAGAAAGTAAAGATAAAGAAAATATTTTTTACAAGATATATCAAACGAAATAGGCAAACTTAAATTAATATCAAAACCTGAAAATGTATGGTAAAAATTGTTACATAAACCTTTCTTTTTTTCTTCTCAAAAATGATTTATTTTTAAAACAGAATCTCCATATCATAGTTGATTACACATCATATTTGAGTAAGAGCACACTATATATATATATATATATATATATATATATATATATATATATATATATATATATATATATATATATATATATATATATATATATATATAAACCTACAGCCAACAATCACTTAAAATTTCATGTTTACCGAGGTGTTTTGTACCTTTCTATTGCATATCATGGTTTAAACACAAACTTCTAGTAGTATCTGATAACATGAGAACGGTACAAAGGATTTGGCCTTGTTCCTAAATTTACAGGTTCAAACTAAGATATTTCTTAGATTTATGTATAGGGTTAAACACAATATGAACCGCAGGAAACAGCTGGAATTTGTATTTTAGAGCTACTTTTGCCGTCTAATTTGCGGAATGGTCAATATTTCGACGAGAGAGAGAGAGAGAGAGAGAGAGAGAGAGAGAGAGAGAGAGAGAGAGAGAGAGAGAGAGAGAGAGAGAGAGAGAGAGAGAGAGAGAGAGAGAGAGAGATTTAAAGTAGCTTTAACAAATTTTCAGTCATATCGTTACAATGTCTGCAGTGTGACAGTTTTTAGAGTTGACTAGCACTGGGGCTTCAGACATGTGGCATGATGTTGCATCCAGTCACATTATCCTGACACCAGTCTGACCAGTCCTACCACTAACATCTTAATGCTGAGCGCCAGGCGAGGCAGATGTTAGTACAATTGTTTAAAGTCTTTGGTATGATTCGACTGGGGTTCGAACCCGCGACCGCCCGCATCTGAAGCGGACTCTCTAACCATTATGCCATCGGAGCGGTCCTTGCCGTGAAGAGAGTGGCAATATAATTTCGAAACATGCATGTCTCCAACCCATTTTTGTGTAATTTTTGTGATTTTCTAAGGCATTTGATTTAAATAAATTTAGGGAAAACAGTTTTTTTGGTTACATGGATAATAGCAATCTAATGTAAACTATTTCAACTACTTAAATACTATCATTAACCAATGTGTAGAACTCAGATATTAAACATAAATTATATATGGACAGGAACTCCATCAACATACATGCACAGTGCATATATGCTATCTCGTTATTTTCTGAAAATAATATAAATTGAACAGAAAATCGGTATGTTCTTTTCCGACAAAACTGATAAAAAGGAATGTTGGAAATTATCTAGTAACGAACATATGAACGAATTGTATATGTATTTATATAATAGCATATGGACGGTTGAAAAGATTAAATATAGTAGGTCTTTATTGGTTCAATCATAAGGTATGATGTGGAGTTTTTTTTAAATAGGGTTGGGAATGTCGACGACGAGTCCTGTATAGCACGATTTGCAATTACATTGCCCAAACCCTCACTGTATTTAATTTTCCTTTTTTATCAATTTGATACGATTTCTTGTTAGCTAGCACAAACTGATTCTGGTAAAAATTTACTACTACTACTACTACTACTACTACTACTACTACTACTACTACTACTACTACTACTACTACTACTACTACTACTACTAATACACTACTACTACTACTACTACTACTATTACTACTAATGCTACTACTACCATTGATAATGTTACTACTACAACTACTACTAATGCTACTACTACTACTAATGCTACTACTAATACTACTACTAATGCTATTACTACTAATAATGGTACTACTACTACTACTAATGCTATTACTACTACTTTTACTACTACAACTACTACTATTAATAATAATAATAATAATAATAATAATAAGAAGAAGAAGAAGAAGAAGAAGAAGAAGATGATGATGATGATCATGATGATGATCATGATGATGATGATGATGATGATGATCATGAAGAAAAAGAAGAAGAAGAATTACTACTACTACTACTACTACTACTACTACTACTACTACTACTACTACTACTACTACTAATAATAATAATAATAATAATAATAATAATAATAATAATAATAATAATAATAATAATAATAATAATAATATGTCTGTGTGATTGTGATATCGACTACCCACTGACTGAAAATGCCAAACAGCCCCCTGGGTAGTTATATTAATGTTTTCTCAAAACTCTACAATCAGCATAACTTCTGATGCAAGTTTCCTTTAAATAAATCTTTCTTGTGCAAATCAATCTGCGTTTTCAGGTACCATGTAATTGTCGTCAACAACGTTCACTTATCATCAGTCTAAATCTTTTGAGAAACACGCCTAACCACATGAATAATGTAAAATGTTTGACCTTGCGAGTAACCATGTGGTTTCATTACATTCATCTCACAAGTCCCATTCAAAAGCTGTCTAGATTGTGCATAATGTCGGGACTAGTATGTGTTACATGGTTGTGCAACATTTATTGACATGTCAATAATGCAGCCTAAATAATCTAAAATTAGCACTCTCAATGTTGCACAATCAAACTATTAATTTGAAATAGTGACTTACATGTAGCATTTCTTAAAGGTGTCTAAGTATGATGTCTCAAATGCACATCCCCGTCATGCACACCTGTTTTTAAATTGCTAATTGACCCAGATGATATCGACATGACTTCCTCTTTCTTGATACAATAATTATGACCAAGTCTTTTCGCACCTATTTTGGGAAGAAAACTGCACAAGATTGATTATTTACTCAGAAAAGATCTGGAGGAAATTCTGATTTGAAAATAAAGATCCGGTATATGACAACCTGAGGTAGGTGCAAATGTTATATATCCGGCACACTGGAATCACCGTTGACTTAGAGTAACTCACATGTTTGTCAATCGTTATCAAGATATTTGTAATTCTGTCATTGCTAATGAAAGGTCATGCCGAAGCTGCAGGAAAAAAATAAATGCAAAGTTAGGATAAATTAAATTGGGTTGATAACTATCAAATTTTGATAGACTTTTACAACTCGAATTTATTGTGTTCATAGTCTGTTTATGATAAAGTGAGTTTCTTTTTTTTTCTTGTTCTTCTTCTTGTGCGAGAAATATCGAGTTAGAATATTGAATAAGATATGCAATGAGTCACTCCTATTTACTCAAAATCAAGCGTATTTGAACAAGTGTTAATCTATATATTTAATTGATTGCTGTCAATATGTTAATGTCAACACTCAAATGCAAACTGTTAAGAACCAATAGTGAAATATAGCTCCATTTACGTAAGTCAACACATTCGTTTTCAGAGCGACGAACAAATAGAATTCAATTGAATTGTCATTATGAATTCAATTTGATGTTAAATATTCTCTCCCGTTGTGTATCCATATCTCCATGCGCTATGTTTATTTTCATGTCAGACCCATACATCTTCCAGCTAATTCCTTATCAGCACCACATTCCCACCCAAATTTTTATATAAATGACCTTGTATATGTATCGAATCCAAACTCGTTACTTGTGTATCTGAATATGTGTTTTTGTAAATGCATATTCTTTAAGTTCGTTTAACGTCTGTAATGAAATAATTTCTGAAACTGGGGCGCACAATCTTTAGGAAAAGAATGTGTCACAGTCACAACTCTTCATTATTTACTTGAGGTTTAAAATGTTATTGTCTCTAATAAATGTGCCAAGATCAAGTTCAACAATGTCTTAGTCCATTAACCCCACCCCCGCTCGTGTGCAGATACACTTCTTTGTTTATATGTAAAGCATTGACGTGTAGTGGACATTGGAAAAAGCAAAAATATGACAAGCGTTAAATGTTAAAATCATGACAGAGACAGAAATCTTTGTTAAAACACCCATCTACACTCCAAGAAGACCAAAAGAGTAGAATATGAAATGAGAAACTCGCGAATAGAAGGCAGTTAGTGCAGGAAAGAAATCATTGCTTTGGTGGGAGTTTAATGTATTATAAATAGCGGAATTAATCAAAGTACTGGACGTACTTTAGAGCTTCAGAAAGTGGCGGGGTATTATTGATTACCTTTTACTGTTGATTAGGTGCGAAGAGTTATTATAATGTTCAGAATAATTATGAGGAAATTACATTAATAAACTGTTTGAATAAAATATTATTCTCTTGACCTAAGATATACAGTGCATCTCAAACCTGATTTATCGGGGGGGAGGGGGAGTCCACAAGTGCTCTTAACTGAACTAAATTGAAACAATACAGACAAATTGACGAAACATTGTTAAAATTTTAATTTGACCTTGTCTGATTGTTCCAGATAGAAGTCAGCAGGACCTATCCCTGATCCATTCAGAAAGCAGCCATGACCAGCATGACTGAATAAATATACATTGCCCAGTCGTTTTAGCTTATTTTGTATATTTATGGTCATTAGTTCAATTGTCGTTTCGGATCGAACATAGCAGTAGCTGGCCTTTGCCTTTTTAAATGGCGAAACTAAAACCTTTTGAATTCCTCGCTAGACGATAATAGACTGTTTTTGTGATCGAGTTATAGTTCTCGGACCCAAAAATTCATCTTTTATATTTAACGGTAATTCTACCAAAAGAATACAGTTTTATCTTCTTGTACTACATTCGTATACTTCGAAATAACTGTTATCATTGCCAGGCCTTACATCCAAATGTTTTGTCTTTATATTGTTTCTTTCAACATTTCAACATTTAGAATGCTGAATTCGTAGCTCGGACTTGTTGCTTTGATTGGAGTTCTCATGTACACATTTAATCATATTTGAATGACATATCTCGCCAATATTCATAATTAGTTGACTACAGACACATACACATTACCACATGCAACATGTTATGGTCTGATTGCGGAAAGGTCATTCAGGATTGTTTATTCATACCTTAGAACCCAATACACCAGTCCACGTTTAGAACTACTTAATATTAACCAAACCCACATTCCAAGAGAGTCTATGACGTGTTTGGTATACTAGGGTCTATCTCGATACAGTTTTTCTTTTTTATTCTAGATGTAATACAATTTATTGTTGTCCAACACTAATAATGTCTTGTCACGGTGAAATCTTTTTTGATTGTTTCTTGTAAGTAAATGTTGGTTCTGGATCAACTGTAGGTTGTAAGTCTTTCCTTTTTGCCCCCCCCCCCATGCCAGCCCTTTAAAAAAATATTTAACATCAATGGTGAATGGTAAAAAGAAGGGAATGCACTCTTTTTAATGTTATTTACGAAACTGTTCTTAATTAAAGTTTGGAATGCATTGATTAAATAGAGACAAGATAGTCGTAGAAGTACGCGTAAATATTTAGGAACTCCTCGGGATATTACTTTTCGAAGTATCTCAAACATGGCGTGCTGACTACTTTAAATGCATTCGAAACAGCTTTGATGCAATAAAAATTCGTTATTAACAAAACAGATTATTTGTTCAGTATCAAACAGTGAGATTCAGATTTGAGATCCTGTGTAATGATACGGTAACCAACGAACCTAGTTTGCTTTAATTATGTTTTTTTTTAAAACTGGAATTTTGTATTTAAAAAAAATCAGTATAAAAAGGAATGAGATTGTTATCATTAGAAAGGTAGCCCTATGTTACCGCTTACAATTAAAAGTGTCAGACAGTTTCTAAGCATAAATAAATGAATTTATTCGAAATGATAAGGTGATAAGGACACCTCCATGTTATTAGTTTTCCTTCCTTTTAAAGCAGTTACACAGGTAAAGCAATTTCATTATATAGTCACAGCAAACTACGCTATTTATCGTTCGATGTTAACTATTGACCAAAATGCTATTTAAAAACCAGCATACAAATGTGACTTTTGCAAATGGAGTCCCACCACAGAGAAAGTTTCCATTACTTAATGGATTTGAATTCGCAACAATGTTTATTTTGATAACTGCTGAAACGTTATGTTGATG